TCCCTTCACCCATAAGTGCATAGATTATTAGCAGGTTGGGCAGGGGCTTCTATAGTAGGCCCCTTGTGTAAGAGCAGAAGAGAAGGTCAAATGGCTCAGCGGGGAAGGATGTGGGAGATTAATGCATTTCCAAGTCCAAGGATAGGTCAGGCATGCTGCTAAGAGGGGGGAAAAAAAGAACTGTTTTGCTGTCTTCGGTTTAACATGGTCTACGGCCTTAGACTGATATTCCGGGCCACTCCTTGTGAGACTAAATGCAGCCTCCACTCTCTGTATGTGTGGAGAAAATTACATTTGGATCTAGAGAGTACAATGGAATGGAGATTATTCTGCTTGAGTGCATTGACCTTTATCAACCATTTCATCAGAATTTCTGGAGCATGAAGCTGTGTTAGGCCTCCTCTGCAACTGTTCATATACAGGAGGAGGAACACTTTTTTTCCCTGGCTTAAGTCCAAAGCATCATTCTCAAGCATGCAGAGACAAGGAAAGCAAAATCAAATCCATAGACTTGAAATCCAGTTAGGGAATAGTTGTAGGAAACGACACAAACAGCAGACAGGCTGCACGAATCTCCAGAGAAACCTGTTTCGCTTCCTGTCACTGAAAAAAAAAAACCCGTATTTCTCAATATTCCTCCATCTAACTCTTGAATTTAGTTTCACATAACATACAAATTGCTAATTTGAGTCTCTTCTTTCAGTTTGACTAAATAATCAGGAAAGAATGGTTAGGCACACATACTCAAATCATGCTTAGAAGAAAGACCAAATGCTTTTAAAAACATATCACTAGGATTTCAAAGACTGGGCACCATTTTACTATTTAAGAAAAATATTTATTTGCAGGAAATGGAAATACAAATGCATTACAATTTCGATTTATTGTTTTCAAACTAAGTACACGTGTTCTACAAAGCATGGGGGGGTATTTATCTAGCTAGGATAAAAGACCAAAAGGCCATTAAAAAACAGCACAAGAGAACAGATAATAGACTCACAATGTACTTAGATTTAAACACTGCTGATCCATATAACCTGTTACAAAAGAGAGGAAAACCGGGCTGTAAGTACAAACATTAAAGCTCACTGATGATTACAGTCCAGGATCTGCTCACACCGTGTATAAAGGATCATTCACAGTGTGTCAGAAAATGCTGGTGTTTTCCATAGACACACACAGCGCTTTTATCTAAGAGGGAGATTTTCTAAGCAGTGAAGGCCATGGGTGCACAGAGTTCATGTTTTCACCCAGTTGGTGAGCAAAGGATGGAGGCAGAGAAATAGAGCCGAAACCCTAGGGTCCCTTTTCCCAAAGGGGAAGCCTGCGAGCTGAAGCTCACAGAAGATGGGATGAAAAAGACAAGAGAAAGCATCAGGGGAACACTCCGGCAGAGTCGGGAACTGAGGCTTCACAGTGGGGCCAGCACAGTGGGCAGGAGCTGTGCTTCCCGCTCAGAGAGCTGGGAAAGTTAACAGTCTTCAGAAAGGGGTCTGCCCAATCCGTGCCACAAACTGTTGCAACCCCAAGTGACTCATACTCTTCATGCTGGCCACCCTTGTTTTCTGTGTCTTTACCATTAAAATGACTGCCGATTCATTAAGCACAATACTAAGTTTTGCATTGTGGAAGGTCCCTTCCTTCTAGATATCAAGACAAAATAAAGCACTCTAGAATTTTATGTTGCCCGTAATAAGAAGACACAAAGTTTCTAAGTGCTCAGCCTTTGGCCTCAGAGGCCCGAAGTGCTAATCTTCCAATGGGCCAGATTCCTTTGCACTGTGAAAATACTCTTCTGTCGGGATTTATAATACCTTTAATTCTGGCTGCCCCTTGTTGATGTGATTGCACCTCTACAAAATGGGATTTTCCTAATGGATATAACACAATTTCTTTTCTCCTGATATGCAAAGCTAATAGTGGTTCACCTTTAGGAAACCATTTTTAGCCTTTGCAAAAAGTTATTTCCCCTACATTCACTTCAACCTAACACTCTAAGGCTATATCTAGCATCTCCCAGGGACAACAGACTCCTCAGTCATCCTGGATTCTTCTATAAGGCACATTTGAGTCACAAAGTATGGAAGATAAGGGGGAATACCTAGGTGTATCAGAGAGATGGAGAAAGAGAGGAAGAGACACAGACCTAGCACACAGATCTTTGGAATTTTTTTTTTTTTTAATTAAAGGAAATATTCTTGGTCCCATGGATTCTCCAGTATTCCAAAGGCCTAGGGGAAGGGGAACACTCTTCTTTAGTAAAACTGAAATATACCAGGAGTAACTAAATGAATGAATGGTCCTCCTAGCCCCACTTTACTGCCTTTCCCCTCTCTCACACATCTGCCATTGGAGAGGACTCACCTTATCACATTTGCCAACTGTCTCAGGGGTCAAATAAAGTGGCCCTCACCAGGGTACTGCTTGCTAAGGGCTCTGCAGTTCTGCCAGGCTGCACGCAGAGGGCTGAGCCTCTAGTCAGGTTCCTCCCAGACTGGACTCAACAGAAAGAAACTGGTGACCCATGGCACAGAAGGCAGTGGCTAAGTTCTTTCTCTGCTGCCTCCATGTTCCCAGGGCAACACGATCAGCAGGGACAGCATACTTCTCCCCTGGCACAGTGATGGGATGTGCCTGTTTCTGGACTGCACTCACATTCACACCTCAGACAACATGTGTTTTCAGGGGGGCTGGCCCAGGGCAGTCTCTGATTCTGCCTCTGTTTCTTCCTGGTCTGAGAACATAGGAGAGAGGGCCCATGAAATGAGAAGAAAGCATTTTAATAAAACACTTGGGACAAAAGGGCTGAACAATGACTCAGTATCAGAATGAAGAATAATCAGTTCAACACTCCTGCTCTACAGGTATATGATTCACAGCCACCTCATGGTATCCAAGACTCATGGAGAGATTAATAAAGAAAAAGGATCTGGTGTATATAATTGGTTTGTAAATAAGTTGAACCAAACACTGCTTTCCCAAATAAGGTCTCTAAATCAAAAATCATTTATATTCATTAAAAGGTTATCTAATTATGCCTACCCCAGTGTCAAGTTTCATCCCCACTTCCTGCCAAGAAGGAGCAACTTAGTTCAGCTGTCAGATTTTTACAGAACATTTTTTCCAGTATCTGTCTCCAAGTGCAAAGTTGAGAGCTATGAAAATAACCATTTTGAGGGGGAAGGGGGCTTCCTCAAGCCTCATCCAGTAAAAAATTACTTGTTCTCTGAATCTTTGTAAGACCTTTCCTTTACTAGGATAACCAAAGAAAGGGAAGAAGGGCGCTCTGTTTACATAATGGAAAATAGAATGAGCAGATTTCTTTTTTAATGGCATCTGGTTCCTCTAATAGTCTCATATGTTTTAAAACTTTAAGTTCAAGCACCAATATCTGCCACAATTTAAAAAAAAATACAAAACCAAGATGGATTATGTAAAGGTGCAAATTTCCAGTGATGAATGTCATTACATTGCATACCTTAAATGTATCAATAAAATTAATTAAAAACATAAAACCTTCAGAGCTAACCATGAATTACTGACTGGTCCTTCAGACTACTCACCCAATGGGGAAAATAAATTCAGATATGCTGGGCTTAACCCTTGCACAGAAAATGTGCACACAGCTACTAATTATCTGAGCAATCTGGTGTTATCCACCTCTCCTGGGCCCTGTTCACCTCAGTTTGTCCTGAAGGGATGACTGTTTAGTTCCCTTTATTCCTCCAAGCCAGGAATGGAGAACAGAGGTCTTGAGACCTCTGGCTAATATCCCCTGTCTCCAGTTATAGATTATATTCTGGAAGAACAGTTTCCTGGGGGAGCGGGGAGCACTGATATCTGGACATCTGGAAAGAGCTTTGTGAAGCAAGGGTAATAGGAACAAAATGAAATCCTCAATGCACTAAGGATTCGAGCAAGATGTTTCCTTGTTCTTCTCCCTCCTTATTCAGAAGAGTGGGTTTCCCCCAGTCTATCTCCACATGAAACCACAAAACAGATAGATAGGCTGCCTATGATCTCACTTCTGGCCTTAAACATGAGAGCCTGGTTTTCTTGTCACCCAAACATTACCTGAGTTAATTCTGGATTTTTGTCTTCTGAGGATGCACAGTCTGCCTGAGTGACGTGCAATCAAGGGTTGGGTCAACTTGTGACCCATGGTTACCAGACACCGGCCAGGCCCAGCAGGATCAACAGCCTGAGACAGTGGAGCAGAAAGAAGTGGATGCAGAGGTCCCCAGCTGCCCTCCTCCCACAGCCCAGATGTCCGAGTCTGCCTTGGCCACTGGGAGGGACAGCTACAGGCTGCAGGACCACTGTGATCCGAGTACAGCTCTCACATGCTCCAATTTCAACAGGGCCATTTCCTACCACAGGCAGGGCCAGGCAGACAGGAGGGAGCTGCTCACAGGGTAGGATGGCAAAGGCCAAAGCAGCCAAATCCTGTACCTGACAGGGGACAGATGCAGGGATGGGTGTCATCCCTAAGTATAGGCTCCAATGATGACGCAGATGATGATGATGAGACTGGGGCAGGGAGCTAAAGCCCCTTCAGCTGCTACTAAAAATGAAATATCAAATGTAAGCACATTTCTTGCACAAAATATTTTACAAGCTAAGAAAAAAAAACACACAAAGAATCTTATACCTTCTACAATAAAAAGGCAATTTACATGTCTTATTTGTATGAAAGAGGTCAAAATTTTTAAACTACAAAAGTGACTTTTTTAATCATTAAAAAAAATAAAAGTAGAGTGTAGGTTAGGTTGTATCTCTTTGGGTAAGCTGCAAAGTAGCCTAACCTGACCATAAAAGGTAAAAACACGGATGTACGAATGCGCCCTATTTCAACCCTCTGACGGAGGAGGGCAGAGTGAAAGTAGAAAGCAAGGGAGTAGCAGAGCCGGGCAGGTATGCAGGAAAAGCGGACAGAAATGACTGTTGTTCGGGACAGGCTTCCCTTCTCTGTTATGGGAACCACAGAGAGAAAGCATCAGCCAGAGCACCACATGGGTCCATCATTCCCTCTGTATCCACACAACAAGGGACAACTGCTAAAGTGGATTCTCAATCATTAATTATCATATAGACCTGAAATTTAGAAAAAAAAACAAGGAAGGAAACAAAACATTATCCAGATATATTGGGAATCCCAGTGCCTACAAGGGGGGGCCTCCTGGCTCCAAAGATGACAGAAGATTTTGCTAGTGTGGAGGGAGGCATGGACTGTCCTGGTGTGGTCACCAGTGAGAAGCCTCAGAAAGCTAATAAATACTATTTACAAATGGGAGGAGAAGCAGGAAGGGAGGACTATGCGGGCCTAACGGTGGGGAGAAGTCCTACAAGCACAAAGATGGGCAGGTCTGCCTGGAGAACAGCCTGATGCTTTTAGGCATTGCACTTGCGGCCTGAGAATACAATGGGAGCCCTGTCCATCCATGCCAGGGTGGAGACAGGCCAGCCCAGGCTCCAGAGGGCAGAGCAGAGGGAGGGAGCTGGTATGGTTCTCGGGCACTCCCAAGGCTGTGGGATGTTCACATGGGAGACCCGGCAAGAGTGGGGTGGACAAGAGTCAGTGCTTTGCCAAATCCCAAGAGGCACCATGGCGTTTTGTGGCTAGGGTCCGGGATCTCAGTTGAGTTAGAATCATCTCTTTTCAAAAAGGGTCACACCTTGCATGGTAGAGTCAGGTAGTATCTTTTTGGCACTACAGGTGAAAGCAAGCCTGCTTGTCCCACCCAGTCTACTCCTGAAAGAACTTCCTATGACAGTAAGAGGGGGACACTGGCAGGCACACCCAGGTGGAAACCACGAGTGCCTCCCGCTCAGCAACGGGTGCTTGTCCAGGTCTTCCTCCGGATCCAGTGGCAAAGAGGAAAAGCTGATGATGGAGGTGGTCAGGGGATATAAAGTAGAGGTAAGAGGAGAGAGAGCGTGGAGACACCTCTTAGAAGGTGGTGTTCACTCTTCTGTCGAGCTCTACAACTTTGAGTGTTTCATTCCCCTCCAGTTTGGCGCTGACCCTGGAAGGTGTAAAGAGGAGAAAGAAGAATTGGCCACAGAGAATCAGCTGCAACTCTCCTGCCTCCCAGAAGGCTATACTCGCGCTAAGGCCTCAGCTATGTGGCCTGGCCCAGGCTAACTTCTCATCCTTTTCCTTCGTAGTAGTAACTCTCTCCTCCCCAAGTCCCTTCCATCAGCCTGCAGCAGCCCCACCTCTGTCCCTCACCCAAGACAAGGCATCCCAGTTCAGTGAGCAAACATGGAGACAGTTTTTAAAATTAATCAATTAATTAAGTAATTGTTTTTATTAGTACATGTTTGCTGTACATAATGATCATGGGGAATTTGTAACTGTACACAACATATCTTAATTCATTTTTTCACTCCCACCCCTCCCTTTTTTTTTTTTTTTTTA